AGTCGATAAAAAATTTAAAATCATACCCATTTTTATCGCTATTGCATTAATGTAATACCCATCTATATTCTTATTTGAATTAAAAAAAAGAATTTTTTATTAAATATAGGTAAAATTGACATGTTTACTCAAACCTAGATAGTGCTTTTTTAATTCCTCTCAAAACGAAATCTATTTAAGACATATGCCATGGTTCCTTACTTTGATAGGGTACAAATATCTAAATTTGATGTTTTTAGATACTTTTTTAGATCTATTACCGATACTAAGTAGCAGTTAAAATTTTGTCTTCATTTTTCATGATATTATGCATGGATCAAATATATTATGGTGAATTCTTCATAAAAAATTATCTTACACAATGGAATCTGATAAGTGAAATTTCGAATAAATGTTTACATAATTTTCTTTTGTTTGAAGAAATGATTCATCAAAATGAGTCACCATTGATATCAACACATTTGAGATCGCCAAATGCTCAGGAGTTCCTCTATTCAATCCTTTTCCTTCAACTTGAGATTTAAAGGTGTCAATTGTATTTAGTCTGAGCTAATCCAAGAACATATATACAGGAAAAAGGGATGGTTGTAATAATAAGTAGCATACAATAAATAGTCAAGCATTTTCCTGTATATATAGTTGTAAAGAAAAAATGGATACTTTTCTTTTCATTCATTTTTCATATTTTCTATTAAACACACCTATAAAAAAAAATTCTCATTTCTTTCGCTTTTCTCCCCTATCAACTTTTGAAGCTTCCATTTTTTCATCATTCTTCTCAAGTGAAACCTATGGGTCGTATAGAAAGGAATGAGTGGAAAGCGGGAAAGAACATTATTATAAATTGCACGATCCATCTAATTAGAATGGTTTTCACTTAATTTAAGTTAAAATTCATTGATAATATAACTTTATAGACAGGAAATAGCCGTATTTGCAGTGCAAAGGGTTTTCAAAATAAAGATTACTGCAATAAGTAATACCAACATCCAAGCATTTACCCTGCACACATTTGCTTGTTTTCTGAAATGAGAACTTCTTGCACCATTTTTTATTGTTAACGAATAATGAAACCCTTAAAAACCTGGAGGTCTGCACTTACACTTTAACAAACCTATCTGACAAATGCAAAAAACACTCTATAGAGCTTGCACTACTCAGACTTCCAGCATTCATAAAGCAACCAAGTTTCTAATTTCTAATAGTAAATGACACTGTTAGCAACTGAAATAGGGAATAACAATTTTAACCAGTCATCCTTCATGGCAAGAAAATTTTATGTCAGTATTGTCAATTTATCAAGTTCAGTTTATTACAGAGGATGGAATATTACACATTTATATTCTGTGTACTTCCCTTGAACCAAAACAGAAAAGTTTACCCAAGAATAATCCCAAGGATGCTAGGTGCAATGATCCATGACAGCAAGCAAGCAAAAGTTTGTATGTTAATATCTAGTTTAGAGAGAAAAATGCTATATAAGGATAAGTACACATGTGCTAAGTGGATGCTTTAAAGTACAATCTTCAGATGCAAAGGTTAATTGTTGGATATTCCAACAGCTAAGTTTAATTGGTTAAAGTTTGAACTGGCTTTTTTACCAAATATTTAGGTTAACAACTTTTACCGAATCTACCGAGATTTTATGGCCATTGTAACGAGATTTTGACCGTTACAACATGATTTTATGGCCGTTATAGCCAAATATTATAGCCATTGAGTACCTGATTGTATAACCTTAGAAAAATATTTTTCCTGGATTCGCAAAGATTTTTCTCTCAAATATCGCTCACCAACAATCTAACCTTGGCCTACAACGAAAAGCAATTCATTTTCTTTCTCGTTTCTCACTATTCTTTATTCGTCTATTTTTCCATTGCTGGATTTTATTGTTACTATTGTTCCTGCAACTCTTAATAGCTAGTGCAAGTTATTAAAAAAGGTTTGTTGTATCCTGGAGGGTAGCAGCTTAAATCTTTTACACCAAGTTCTCTGAAGGACGAAACTATCCTTAATGGCAGTTTTACCGTGTTTCAGACATTTTTTATTTTATCTTTCTATTCCAAAATTTCCAACATACATTAATAACATTAATCAATGCAACATCAATTGAAGTAAATTTATAAGATTCATATCACCTACAATTCTCTTTATTACAATACTATAATTAACCAATTACAATTAAAAATTATGTAAGGTTCAACCACATAAAAGTGTGGGCTCTATATAATTTGCTTATAGACCCCACATAATGCTGAATTATAATTGGTTATGAGTATAAACATAACTAAATAAATAGTCATTTCCAGTCAAAATCTATCCATAACCAAATCTCAGGAACCGAAGAGGTATCACCAAACCAGAACTGTTAATGCCTGCAATAAGTTCTGCAAGCTTTCGCTTTACTAGAGAGAAATATGATGATTTTTATTCAGTACAGTTTTTTAAACTTTGTCAACTTCCTAATGCAACCAATCAGTCTCTTGACTTACAGTTCATATGCTTGAAAGACAAGTTCCATATCCAACTCAGTAGTTATGTAATAGAACCAAACTAATTTCTCTTGTGCTCATGATCCTAAAAAGCTAATATAATTTTCCATGCATACAAGAAATACCCATTATAATCATGTTATATATATAAATAGCACAGATGGTTCACCTATACCAAAGCTTAACTGCCCATGCATTGTTGATTTTCCTTTTTTATTGTTGCTAATTTCTTGATGTTGAGTGTATCTACCTTCCACTTTAATGGTTAATAGCCACTTATTTCTATGCTTTCAATCAACAAATGATGAGCCATCAATGACCTCTAGAACAATGTTCAACAACAAGTTATAGCATGTTGGATCTCCAGGCACATTTCACAACAAATTAGTTCGTGAACAAGGGGCTTACCAAGCAATATTTTCCTAAAGAAGGAAACCACCATGACCTCTAACGTTTGCGAACTTGCAAACAGCTCCAAGAACTAGCACAAATAATTAAACATGGTCAAATATCAAATTTATTACCATAAAATGTGGAGTTACCATATACCAGACAAACCAAATCTAACACATTATCAAGTTCAGGAGTACCATACCTTCATATCCTTCTAGAACTGGATCTTCAGACAAGAGAAGGGAAGTAACCAAATCAACAAATCCGTACAGCATATTTCCAAGTTAAAACTCAAAACAATTACAACAAAAATTTGTGAGAGCTAATATGTATACAAGGGCGAGCTATGGTAGTCATTTCTTTAACAAGGATAATGGTACTTACTTGAAACATCTGAGGCCAGCTGCAAGATGGCCAGCAAAGCCCATGGCCAACCTGGTTTCCGCCATACCACCATTCATGAGATTCAGTCCTGATGCCCTAGCCACCAACATAATTTCAAGAGCACCAAGGAATCCAACTTTGGCAAGCTTAATGTTAATAACATCTGCAAGTTCTCCTTGAACTATTTTCTTAACATCAGGTAAACTTCGACAGCTTTCATCTGCGGCAACAGATACCCCATATTTGTTTTTCGCAAAAAGACTAACATGACCAAGACCTTTCTGATCATCCCTATGAACTGGCTATTCAAAAAGAACAGGAGTCACCCCCATTTCTGCAGGAAAAAAAGAGCTTAATACTTTAGAAAAAAAAATTTAAAGATACGAGAAACCTAAAAGTGCTGAAATATAATTCATATTAGAGAATGTTACAAATATTTCAATGTTAGATCAGGCACAAGCAAATAATTTGTTGCTTTGTGCTGATTTTTAGAGATAGCTGGTATGCAGAATCTTAACTTCGTGTCTCTTATACATCCTCTACCATGTAATTTTTCAAGAACTTCAATAGCCTCCACAGGTCTATATCCCTCATTAGCATCCAAGATGAATGAACAATCAGGACAGGGCCGCACGTTTCACTTGTAAGACTTCAATGTCAGCTTTCAGGTTCTTTCCCACCTTAACCTTCAAAGTTTTGAATCCTTGTTTTTGATACTTTGAAGCTAATGCAGCAGCTTCAGCTGGGGAAACAATAGGAATCTGCACACATAGAAGGCTGAAGTGACAGATGGAAACTAACAAGTTTGGAAGAGACCACCAGCTATAATAGGTTTTTCTCCCAGATTTTGTCATTTTTCTCTTCAAAGGAAAAGAAAGGGGAAGGCAACAGAAAAGGATGAAGGGAGAGAAACTGAAATGTTATATCAGTAGTTATTGTATTTGAAGCTCCACCAAAGAGTCTCCACAGAGGTATGCCAATGCTCTTAGCAACTGCATCAATCAATGCCATCTCAACTCCTGCCCTAACCTTCAGTTGTAAGAACAGTGTAATGAAACATATAACACCCTCCTATTTATGAGAATTAAAAAAATACAGAATAAAGGAGAATTATAATCTTTCCATTAAAAGGTAAGGTGCCTGTGTCTTGACTAAACTATCACTCCAACCTTCAATTGTAAAAACAGTACATGACAGATATTAAACCCTCTAGGTCTGGAGAATTCAGAAATGAAACTAAGATACAAAAATTGTGTTCATAGCCCCCAGCTTCAAGTGCAATAATAATGGCCTATGAGAAACAAAAAAGCCCTCTTATGCGTAGTAATTCAAAAAAGAAACTGACAAAATGAAGCTGTGTATGCTTGTGCGCATATTCTATTGCAAGAACAGTCTAAGATGGGATTATATATATATATATATATATATATAAATATATATATACATATATATGTATTTATATGTATATGTATTCATATATGGATATATATAGATATATATATATATATATGCACGTGTATCTAAGTATGTTTAAGATGTTTAGAAGCAATGTGTAACCATAAGATTTTCCCGCCATTTTCTTTTATCTTCCTGAACCATTCAGGCAAAATGTGAACTCCAAAACCTAGCAACCAGAAAGAAATCATAATGTTCTAAAGTCAGTCATGCATATGTCTGGTAAGACCAACTCCAACATAAAATGCTTCCATAGTTCTATTGTTTAGTAACAGTTTATCTAAATCATTCCTAAGAATGTTTTATCAACGTATAATGAGTCATTGCTATTAGAAAATGATGGCTCAGTTGAAAGTGGTAGTATATTAAACCCAAATGCCAACTTTAAATTCATCAAACCTTAATGTGATCTAAATAAGCAACAAGGATCACAAACCTTCCGCATGGTTGCAGAGTTAAAAGAGGGGAAAAGTTTCGCAGGACCAAATGAAGTAAGCAAACTACTGTTTCTTGAATTTCATTCACTGGGAAGTTAGCAATTTGATTATGCTTTAACTTATCACTATCCTTCACAGAAACTTTCTCACTAACCAAACAGAAGAAAAATTTTATCATCCAAGTAAAGTAATTAAGCAGTTAAAATCAAAACTACCAATAACAAAAGCCAAAGAGAGGACTATCAAAAAAAAAAAAAAAAGAACAAAAACTCACAGAAGCAAACTGATTTCCAGGCAAAACATCACCAATCTCCCCTAGTGCTGACCCAAGTGTCATGAAAGAACAAGTCATGAGCATCTCACAGGCCTCCTTGGCTTTCGCCATTGCAGTAGGCTGATCCTCTGCCGCAACGAAAGGCAGAATTGGAGCCTCACCCCAACCAACACATCCATTTTTTAACTCGATCCCGATGACCACGTTCTCCACCTTATCAAGCCTAGAAGAGGCTATGGTGAATGAAGCAATCAAAGGTACATTCAATGGTCTGTTATCTGCCTTCTGGACCTCCACTGTGAAACTTTCCATCAAATTCTTGAACCCAGCATTTGTTGCAGAAGCAGTAGGTGGCACATCCATTGAATTTTTGACATATAGATTGCAAATGGACGGTTGGAGTTTGAGGAGTTTATGGGGTTTTGAGGGTTTTAAAGGGGATTTTGGGAAGAAAGAAAGAGACCCAGTTGAGAACATTTGCTGCTGTGGGGTTTTGCTTTGAGAGACTTCGATTGGTTTGTGAGAGTGATGTGAAGAGCAGCTGCCAATGCCGTAACCATTGCTGATGATTCTTGTTTTGGCAAGGGCTCTGTTTGATTTGTCGAAAATAATGACAAGTAGTTGAAATGCTTATTTTAAATTGAACATGTCAGTTTTCATGCGCTTGGACGCTTTGTGCTTCAGCATTGTCCCTGGCCACCTCTCGAGTAATTTATTGATTATTTTTCTTTTTTTTTTATTTTGTTAAAAAAAATACATAATTTATCTTTCAAAAATGATTTCATCAATTAAATTTCGACGCACCAATTTAAAGTTCTATATCTAGAAAATTTTAAAACTAAAGAATTTAGATTTATAGGGTAAAAACGGTTAAGACTTTAAAGACTTTCCATTTCATGGTAGAAGATCCAATGAATTTTTATATGTAAAATAAAATACTTAATTTCAAAATGTTGTAATGTAAGCCTAAAAGCTAAACATTCGCAAGCCTCTCCGTCGAAAGAAGTTTGCTTTAAGAACTCTTTAATATGACTACAAGAATTGACTGACCCCAATTCAAGCTGTTTTGTTTTGTACTTAGTATAACTGCTTTCCTCTTCTGATTTTCTTCTTTGTTTCCTTACGACATTTGTAGCCGCCCCTGCCTACCCGCTAACCTATTCGTTTCCCCTTTTCATTAGTTGGCTTTATTTTTCAATAAGAAAAAAAAAAAGAGAGGAAAGATAATTGGTTATGCAAATTACATTTGGTTTTGATGTTAGTATCAATCTTCAGTCGAGGTACTTGCAAGGGAAGGAAAGTCAGAAGGCGTGAGAGCTTGGGCTTCGGATGCTATTTCGCGACAAATCACTATAGTAAAAGTTGTAGGGGAAATTAATACGCATGTGTAATACTGTCACATAAAATAATACGTTTAAAATAATAATAAAAACATATAAATATATTTGTTTCGATTCAATTCAAAATAATTTATTCCAAACATAATCACTAACAAATAAATATTTATAATTATAAGATTTTTAGCATAAAAAAAACCACCAAAAACTTTTTACTTAAACTTAATCTAAAATCTAATTACACATTTTTAATAGTATACTCACTTAACTATTCTCTTGGTATCATCTAACTATCTAAAATTATCAAATTAAAATTAAAACATCTTATTTATAAAAATGAAATTTTTTATAACTTTACTAAACTCTGGATGTGGAATATAAGACAAATTCTCAACTCTTATAACTTTACTCAACTTTTAATGTGAGATTACAAGATTCAAAGCAAACTTCAACAAATCCTCTCTGGCTTGAATTTACAAACACTTCAATAGTTATTATAAAGCTTACATGTTTGCCATTCTTTTTTTTCCTTTGTCACAGAAATCCCAACAATTGAGCCTCCATCAAGCATGTATAAGTGATTTTTGACTCTATTCCCTTATAGAACCACACTGTCATTCTTGTACATTTTCAACCAATTATTACTACCATATTATGTATACCCCCTAAAAGCTAACTCACCTAAACAATCAAATTGTAACTACAACTCAGTACATAGTGTCCTAATAATATCATTGTGAGATCTAAAGTGAACATTCCTAATGCCTTAAATCTGCACCTTTCCATTGTTGGCAACCACAATATCCCCATACTTCTCATCTCATACAACCCCACAAATTAACTGCTATTATTGTAGACATGGACTATAGCAATTGAATCCAAAATCCAAACTTTATCATTTCAAAGTCTGAGTCTCATCCACACAAGTCGTTAAAATGATATCATCATTATTTGACATAACAGCAGCAATATCATTTTTTCCTTCATCGAATTTTTTTTCATCATTCGTCCTTTTGAAAGTAGTTATATCTCTTATCAGTTTCTTACAGCATACTTGAATATGTCTCTATTCGCCACAATAATAATATTTTATATCATTATAATCTCTATCTCATGATTTGGATTTTCTTTTTGATCCATCAATTTTTTTTTGAATATATCCTTGATCAGAACCCTCTATAGCTAGTGCACTCTTTCTAGGTGATGAGTTATATATTTTCATAAACCTTTTGTTCTTATGCAATAGAACAATCATATCATTTAACTTTAAAGTAAACCTACCCACCAATAAAGTTTGAACTAGAGGTTTATAAGACTTAGGCAAAAATAACAACAAAATTAAAGCTTTTTTTTCATCTTCTAACTCATAAACAGAAATAGCCAACAATTGATAAATTAATCTATTAAACTAATTTAGTTAATTATAAAGACTCATACCTTTTTCTATCTTCAGGGAATACAGATTCATCTTCAAACATAATATGTTAATCAATGATTTCAAAGCGTAAATACCCTTAAATTTATCCCAAAAACCCTTCAAAGTATTCTTAATCAATACACTATACTTTATCTCTGGAGCTAGCGCCAATCTAATAGTATAAACAACTTTCTTTTGAATTCTATTCCAATTACTTCTAAACATTCATTCAGGCTTATTACTCTCTAATGCCTGATTTAACCCTTGTTGTAATAACAGATCTTGAATTGTACTTTGTCATAATATAAAATTACTTTTTTCATCAAGTAATGAAATCTCAAACTTGGGCATAGGAATACAAAACATACATTTTTTAGACATCTTGAAATACTTGCTTCACTCTTTTAAGTCATCCTTCGATCAAAATCTTTTACAACTAGTGCACTCCCTCTAGGTGATGAGTTATGTATTCCCATAAACTGTTCATTATCACGCAAAAGAATAATCATATCATCCAACTTCAAAGTAGACTTACCCACCAATAAAGTTTGAACTAGATGTCTATAGGACTTGGGCAAAGATGATAACAAAATTAAAGCATTTTTTTCATTTTCTAACTCATCAACAGAAATAGCCAACTGAAAAATTAATCTATTAAACTCATTTAGGTGATTATAAAGACTCATATCTTCTTCCATCTTCAAAAAATACATATCCATCTTCAAACATAATCTGTTAATGAATGACTTCAAAGCGTAAATACCCTCAAGCTTATCTCACAAACTCTTTGGAGTATTTTCAATCAATACACTATACTTTACCTCTAGAGCTAGCACTAATGTAATAGTACTAACAACTTTCTTTTGAATTTTATTCTAATTACTATCAAATATTCTCTTAAGCTTGCTACTCTCTAATGCCTAATTCAACCTTTATTGTACTAACAAATCTTGAATCATACTTTACCATAATATAAAAATTACTCTTTTTCATCAAACAATGGAATCTCAAACTTGGGCATAAGCATACTATACATACCTTCTTCAAATATCTTGAAATACTTACTTCACGATCTCTTAAGCTTGTCTCTCTTCTTTTGATGTGTCGAACCTTGCTTTAATATTACTTGTTGGAAAATCAATACATACGTGCAGTACTATTACATAAAATAACAAGCTTAAAACATTAATAAAAATACACAAATATATTTGTTTCAACTTAACCCAAAATGGCCTATTCCATACTTAATCCACTAACAAATAAATATTTATATCTATGAGACTTTTGAAATGAGAAAAGTTACCAAAGCTCTTTACTCAAACTTAACCCAAAACCTAATTATACCCCAATTACTCATTTTTAATAGCTTGCTCACTTAGCATTCTCTTATTGTCTACCTATTTGAGATTACTAAACTACAATTAAAGCATCTTATTTATAAAGGTGAAAACCTTTATAACTGTACTAAACTTCCAATATGGGATACAAGACAAAGTCTCAACTCTTATAACTTTATTTAACTTTCAATATGGGATTACAAAATTCAAGGCAAACCCTAAAAAAATTCATAAAAGAAGAGTCAGCCACCTCTTGATTTAGTGACTAAGGAGGTTTTATGAGAATATAGAGGTCTTAGTTTCGAATCAAGATCTCCTCCCTTTCACTTTTGTAAAGTCTATGCCCTCTTTTAAACCTAAAAAAAAAAAAAAGTCTTAAGGGAAAAGAGATGGAAAAAGAGAGGAATGATTAGTGCTAGTTTAAGTGGATTTTATTTAGGATTCAAATATATATTGGATGTACTTTATTTCTCCAAAATGTAATTTGTTGGAACAATAATTGATAATGAATTCTCACTTAGCTTTACTTGTAAAGAAGAATGAAAATGGTAAAGATGAAAATTTAATTAATTAAATGGTTTAGGGTTTTATAATAATTTTTTTATTTTGTAACTTAACTATTGAAATCTCATTTTAGATACCCATTTACTTCTAGCAAGGTACAATTAAGGTTCTTGACTGTGTTAGAAATCCATTTGATTCTAACTATATTGGAGCTTATTTTTTCATTGGCCATGACCCATATGTATAAAATTTAAGTTTCCACCACACTTTTTTTCCCATTTTGTCTTTATCTTTAATTCTTTCTTTCTTTTTTTTTATTTTTTTGGATTAAATATTAAAATGATCTATATATTATATATTTTCTATTAGTTTAATATATAAAGAAATAAAATTTTCATTTTAGTACCCGAACTTTTATCCTGTCAAACACCTTGGTATTCTAGACTAATATGGTTAGTCAAGTTACTTGCATAATATTAATACCCAATAAAATTATGACATGTAACATAAATATCTAGTTGCTATCACATTATTTATTTTTCACATTATTTTTTAAAACTTTTTATTTTAAATAAATCAAAAAATATTTTTATATTTTAAAATTTTTTGCTGATGTGGCAATAGTTGATATGACGATAATTGAACATTTATGACACATGACATAATTTTTTTGAGTATTTATGTTAAGTCAATCATTTAATTGACATTAACAATGTAAGGTGCCAAAATGCTTAACAGAATCAAAGTTGAAATATCAAAATAAAAGTTTTATTTTTTTAAATATCAAATTAATAGAAAATGTATAATATAGAGGTTATTTTACCTATTAAATAGTCCTTGTTCTTATGGATTTTGTTTTGACATTTTTCATTATTTATTTAATTTTTTTGTTATTTAATTTTTATTTTTTCTAATTTAAAGTTTTTAAAATTAATTTGTCATAATTATTTAAAAATTAATTTATATAATTATTTAATAAGTTAATTGATAATTATTTGATATAAAACAATTGTATTAATTTTCAATTATTTGTTAATTTTATAATTATAAAATATATTATAAAATTCATTATATATCAATTTTAATATAATATTCTTAACAATTATTTTCTCTTTTCATTACACTTCACTTCATCGTCACCACTACATTTGTATTCAACATATCTCACTATTAATTTTAATCTCATTGCTACAGTACCTAATTTGACCACTATAATAACTTATCTTACTATCATCTCTATTTTCAATTTTACTAGAGTAAATCTCATCATCCATCTAAATGAAGCTTGAATTAACAAATTTTCTATTCTTATTCTTTTCTATTAATTAATCTTTTAACGAAAGTTGTATTGAACTTATAAAAATCAATTCATATATAAGCAATATACATTAAAGTCATGTTTGGTATATAAGATGATAGATATAATCAAAAGATGATCATATTTTTATATTGGTTTGTATTTAAAGAAATGGATAGAATTATAAGGAGGATTGACAATCCTCTCAGTATAAGATGATTCAATCATCCTAAAATAGAGAGGATTATTTTTAATCTATTAGATTGAATTTATATGTCTTATTACACCATTAAAAATTATATTAATAATTTAAATTCTATAAACTTTGAGGAAATATAATTTTAACCAATATATAAATTATTCTATCCTAATTTTTACATATATCAAACACAAGATAGGATGTCATTATTTAATCTTAATTTGTTTATAATATAATCTTATCTTATCCTATCATAATTTTGTATACCAAACACATCTTAAGAGTTGAATATAAATATAAAACTAAGATAACAACTTACTTATTCTAGCTATGTTCATCAACTTTATCAGCCTTGGTTGCTAATTAAGTTTATGTTGGAAAAAAATCTTGTGAGAATTGTGAAGGGCACAAGAAAGGGACCAAAAGTAAAAAGCACTAAAAGAATAAAATGTGAATTTATTGTTGTGACTTTACAGTTAAGGATAATAAAAATTAAACCAATTTAATGTGAATAAAAAAATTGGACGACAAAAGTTGCTACTTTTAAAGTTTTTTGCAATTGATGTTGATGGATGAAGAGGTAAAAACAATTTAAACCTTTTTCCAGTGAAATTTTGGTATAAAATTTCAATGTTCAATATTTTAGTATAAATTATGAATTTAAGTCTTATTTATAATTTTAGGAAGCAAAAATTTTGGCTTTGATGTTTAATGAAACAATAAAGATTCAAATGCTCTTTGATAAAAAACAAATCATACATCAAATCAAATATTTTTGTCTAAACTATTAAAAAATATTTTCTTAATATTAACAAAGATATTGAGCTAACTATTATATCCCACATCAACATACAAGAAACAAAAAGAACCTATAAGTTTGGAAAAATGTTGCTTCACTATCATTAGGTGAAAAAAGTGATAGAAATTCCAGAAGCAAAAATCTTTTATATGTTTCTTTATTTTAGATGAATTTTATTAAAACATATATAGGTTTAATTTATTTATAATTAACATTGACATATGTTAATTGCAAACACATTAAGCTTTATTGTTATGTCAAACCTTGCATTAAGGGTCCACTGTTAACCTCAAATAACAATAATGAATTAAAGTATTCATTATCCTATATTAATTTTTTATATATTTTCCTCACTGAAAACCTAAATAATGAAAGATAATTTTCTATATATAATTATAGGATGAAACCCGACCATGTTTTGGAAAAGTTTGGTCAAAATAGAAGGCCAAATACTTCAACACATGAGAGAAGAAAGATAAACTATTGCATTATCACGAGGAAATACACTTTAAAAGAAAAATTAAATTATTATTTTAATTTTATTGATAAAAAATTAAAATAAAGAAAAATTAAATTATTATTTTCTTTTGAAACTTCACTTTAAAAGTTTTGTTATATTTATTTGCTTTCTAAACTTGAATTTATATTTTTAATTTAATTTAGATTATGAAGAATATATCAATTTTATTATTATAAAAACACTAAAATTATTTTATCATATTATCACTTGAATAAAATAATCATAATCACAACCACAATCTCACTCATAATCATGTGCATACCACATGTGAAGAATACTAGTAAAAATGACAAGAACGAAAGACATTGGAGAGGCCAACTATTAATGCTCTTTAGGGTGGCTCCGCTGGAGAAGTGTTGTTGGAATATAGCTGTTTTAAGAATGTTACGAAGAAAGGTTAAAATAGCATTTAATAAACTTAATACAAAGTTGCAATAGAATATTAAAAAAACTATTTGATAGTATTTTTTTAACTTTTAATAAATAAAAAATAAAATAGTCAATTTTATTAAATTAAATCAGAATTTTTAGGTGAAACATTTCTAAAATAAAAAATATTTTTGTTAATTATAATAAAAAAACAAATAAATTTAATAAAAAAGGGCAAAATAAAAAATAATATAATATAATCCTCTCTGTAATTTCGCAAATTATTGAAGGTAGAGTGATGATGTAAAAAATTTTCATTAAAAACTTATTATTAAAATGAACATTTCTTTAAAAAGTTTTAATTTATAGTATCCTCGAAAAGCTTAGATCTACTTTCCACAAACTAAAATTCTTAAAATTTTGAGAAATAAAAACCTGAATTATGCTTTTATAGTAGAGAAATTTTTTTATAAGCTGGAGCAAATACCCACCAAGAGTCCCCAAGTTGAAGATTTTTTTAGCATAAACTCTTTGACTTTTTGAATTTAAACGCTATGTATCATATATGTGCATGAAGTTGTCTCAAATTAAAGCAAATGAAAAAGGTTGTTAATTAACCAGAAGCTACCTGAACTTTATTCCCGACAGTCACAAGTTGCTGTTTGACACAATAAGAGTATATGTAAACTTGATGCAATCTATTGGGTTTCCTACTTCCTAAGCCGGGATTGAAGATTCACTACTTTTATCAATGGCTGGCATGCAAAGGAATAACCTTTGCGAAGGAAAAGCTCCCCCAAGCCATACCTTTCTTCTTTATTGTGATTATTACTTACTTTCTTACCAAGCTTAGAACCCTCCTGCATTTTCGTATATAAGATTGGTTCAATGCAAATGGTGATAGAGACATTGTTTTTTACATCAACAACAAATACTATATTCAACCATGCCGATATATGAATCCTCAGAGTCTGACAATGAGACCACCCCACGGGTAAAGCTCTTTGGACATGAAAGGCCCATGCATGCCATTCTTGGAGGAGGAAAAGGTATTCTCTCTCTATACATTCACTTTTGTGTTTGGTAGGATGGAAAAAGGTTGGAATGAAGGGAAATGTTTTTGATCCAATGGTTAGGATGCATCAGCTCGTTTACTATACTTTTGGTTGATATGCGACAATTTTCCCTTCTTCTACCTTTCCTTCCTCACTAGGCCTGGCTTTAAACATGTTAGGTTTTGCAGGCAGGATAGAACTTGTTACCATACCAAAAATGCTTGCATTTAATTAAACATGATCTTTTTGGCTGCAGATTTAGCAATCACTTGATTTAAATTTCATTTGGTTAGGTGTCAAATGAATCAATAATCGGATTTTATTGAACAATTTTAAGATTAACCTAAGATTCTATAATTATTTAGTCAAACATAATATTAAAGATTATGATATTAAAATTAAAATAAAATTTAAAATTACAATATAATTATGATATTGTATGTGATTTATTTTTAATTAGTAAAATCCGTTCATATATAAATAAAACATTTTTGTATATTATTTTTCAAACTAATGAATACAAAATTTATTCTTTTAACAAATCAAATCAGTTGGCAGGGCACAGACCATTTGCAAAATCTTCCTGATAAAGTTATAGCGGTAATAACTTTGATTAATTACCATCCAATCCAAGGCATCATTTTGACCATTAAGAAATTGAAATTTCAGTTGCTGATGTATTACTGTGGAGGAACAAAAAGGTATCAGCCGCATTATTAATTGGAGTAACAGCGATATGGTTTCTTTTCGAGGTGGCTGAGTACAATTTCGTGACCCTCTTCTGTCACATCTCCATCACCACGATGCTTATGATCTTCATGTGGAGCATGTCTGCAGAATATCTTGGATGGTAGGTTTTCTTCACCACCGAAAATTAATTTCCTATTAAGTGCAAACCTTGTTTTTTATTGTGGTCACGTCGATCTGTATTGATTCATAATTCATCTCCAGGAATCGTCCAAAGATCCCTGAGTTGTTATCGAATGAACATGCCTTCAGAGAAGTTGTTTCCAGCTTCCATTGGAGGTTCAATCAGTTCTTGCAAAAGTTCCTCCACATTGCTGGTGGAAATGAACCTGTGAACTTCTTTTTGGTATCACCATCAAAATCCCCCCTCGCATATATTTGATTTAGTCCTCAAAAAATTCACTTATGCTATTTTCTACAGGTAATTATTTCTCTGTACATTATATCTGTGATCGGATCTTATTTCGACTTCGTGAATCTCCTATTCATTGGTAAGATTTATCATCAAATCATAATTTTTAAGGCATTGAGCATCGAAGTAATTTGTTTTCTTTATTGAATCAAGGTTTTCTCTGCATGGAAACGCTGCCATATCTGTACACACATTACGAGAGTGAAGTTGATTATCATGCTGGGCAAATGACCCGAAAGGTGAGCAAAATGTACAGAAGCTTTGATTCAAGAGTTCTTAACAAAATACCCAGAGGACCAGTAAAGGAAAAGAAGCACACGTAAAAAAGTTAATAGCGTGCAAAATTGGATTCCCGCTTTGTTTCCATTGCGGATGTACATTTTCATACACGTGTAAAAACCTACAAAGTCCATGTTGTATTGTTAAAATTCTTACCATATAACAGAAGCTAATGAAATATGCTTGATGGGTGATCTAATCAAACAGATTTACATTGACAATAATGACGGATAAGTTGAGGAAGTTTGGCACCTTGTAACACCAATAAAAATTTGTCTGGTATCATTTAACCAACGTAAAGTAAATGGGGACTCAAACTCTAAATTTTAGCTAAATTAATTCATGCAATAACTTTTAAAAATTAATATTCAACAAATCTGAAATTTAAATTCCAATCCTTACAACGTCTGCTCTTATCCCATATTGCCATCTTCTATATAAAAAAATTGGAATCAGTTGAGATCAAGAATGAACCTTTTTCTGATTAATGAATCTAGATGAAAGCAGCTGAAAGCTCCATTTGCTCTCCTTTATACTATCAATTTGCTGTCCATTTTCACACCACTACTTTTGGGTTCTGGGTTGACCAGGGATATGCCACAAGTACGTCTCTCTCTCTCTCTCTCCACTTCATTTCCCACCTTCTTTGTATCCTAAATAGATTCGCCTCTCGTAAAGGAAAACTTTGATTAATTGTAGCCTACCAAGGTCCACAGAACATAGATTTTCGGAATATATACAACTATGGATCAAGATATATGGTTACATGCAGCCAAACTTTATAAATTGAACGGCTCAAATTGTTCTTCATCAGTTTTAACCGATTGTTTAACAGGTTTGGAATAATAAATCTTGTTCTAAAATCCATTCTAAGGAAATATTGAAGATGTTACTCCATTTGCACACTCCACCAAGCTGCTGTGTCACGGGTCAAAACTTAAGTTCTGAACTGTCGCGATTTCGGGACTCGGGCATGCACTCATGCAATCATCTGGTATCCTAGATCAGCTTTCCTGTCACGGTTTATACTCTCGTGAGGTATTATCTACTTTGGCCCCCTGATCTCAGGATTTTATCTTACAAAAGACGTTTCACAAGGCAGAGATGGTGTGAACCCTTTTATACCTCAGTGACTCTCCTATTATGTTCGATGTGGGATTCAGGACTCCTCCTTAAGTCCGTGACATTCTCCTCTACCCAACTTCGTGACGTCCTTGTCACGGAGGTTGACCACCCTGCCTACCTCCCTCGAGGTGCTTGGTGTGGATCGAACGGTTTAGGGCTGGCTCTGATGCCACTTGTCACGGGTTGAGACTTAAGCTCCGAACCCGCGCGGCTATGGGACCCGGGCATCCATTCATCCGACGTCTTAGATCAGCCTAACTGTCACGATTCATACCCTTGTGAGGTATTGTCCGCTCTAGTCCCCCTGACCTCACGGTTTTGTTTGAGACTTAAGCTCCGAACCCGCACGGCTCTGGGACCCGGGCATCCACTCATCCGACGTCCTAGATCAACCTAACCATCACGGTTCACACCCTTGTGAGATATTGTCCGCTCTAGTACCCTGACCTCACAATTTTGTTCTACAGAAGGCGCCTTACAATGAATAGATGATATGAATCCTTTTATACCTCCAGTGACCCTCCTATTATGTTCGATGTAGAATTCAGGACTCCTCTTTAGATCAATGACAACTGAACTGAGCAGTTGTTGACTTCGTTCCATTATAGAGATTTGATTTGTAATTTTCCCAGCCCTTCCTTACTAAAGCTTCCGAATGTATAATTTCAAGCCATCTTAAATAGTTAGCAGATGAAAATGAGAGCTTTGCATAGGTTAATATAGACAATGACTGAAATTGCCGCAATGCAGTTCTTCTCCATTTGTTTGGAACTAATAGTGGGGTTCCATACTTTTGTCAGAATTCAAAAACTTCACCAGATTTACTAAAACAGAGTGAGTGGTACATATGTTTTGTTATGCTGTTTGTAAACAGAAGCAAGAGTCACAAAACACACATCGAGCACATGGAGAGAGATTGGAAGTTTGCCAACCAACACTATCTATAGCAAGATCCAAAATGTTTTTGTTGTTTTCAAATGATTAAGGCAAAACCCAATTTCTAATTGGCCTCCACAAACTACTTAATGTATGTAGAAACTCTTAAAAGTTTCTATTATTAAAGCTGTCTGTGAGTAAGTGTCCACTTGGGCAAATAATTGCATTTTAAACCCTTCTTTTCCATAGTAACTTGAGGATAAGATTGGACTAGTTCCAGCCTGCCCAAGTTACTATTAAGGAAAAGTTGTTCTTAAAAAATTGAATTATATTTCAAGATGGTGGCCAACTAACTAAGTAGTGCTGATCACACATTTTTTTAGAATTTGACTGTCATGGGTTACAATGACATTTTGGCAGTCAACACAGCTTGTCTCTAATCAATTTTTGTGTGACAAGACAGAGTGGAAGTACATGTAAAACCAACCATAGCACACAGTACATTGTAGTGGTGCATGTTTACCCACTATTTTCATGTCAACTAGTTTTGCCTGCCAATTCTAGTGCAAGCAAGACTAATCACTAAAAGTTGAAGCCTTAAAGCAGGGGAGGGAGTGAAAAGGAGATATCTTACTAAGGCTTTTGGACCTTGGAGCAAATATTATTATAACTAATTTTATTGTTATCATAATTATGGTTTTGCTAAGTCAGTGACCTAATAGCAAATATATAAGAAGACTCTCCAGCTCAGTTTGGAATGCTCATTTCACTCACGGAGAACCACACCGTCCACCAGTACCACTACTCAAGACTTGGGGAAGAGCATAGAGAGACAGAGAGAAAGAACATGATTAGGGAACTGAGAGTAAGCACTCATCAGGATGCAGGAGGGATTGGTGGTCTTTTCCTAGTCTTTTGGGCTGCTCTGATCACCCTTTCTTTGATTTCAGCCATAATTTTCTCTTGTGCAGATGGTGTATCAAAGGATAAAACAACTTCAGGTGAAACAAACTTTTATGGTGGAGGATGTGCTGCTGGTTGTGGCGGTGCCGAATGTGGTGCTGCTTGCGGCGGATAAATCCTTAAGTTCCTCATTACTTTTACAGCAACAAATCTTGGACAAATTCCAATATTTAGCTTAGACATACTGTCTTAAGGCTGCTGTGCTTGCTACTTTGAAAGGTAGAATTGCAAGATGATGTACTAATTTGTAAGTACTAACTATCAAGGTTTATGCAATTACGGAATGAGGCAGCTGGCTTCTGATAAGAAACACTGTACCATAAAGCTGCAACTTCCCATAATATGCCTTTTATTGTCCGAGAGAATGTCATGACTCATTTAATTTACCACGTTTTCATTGATCCTCTCTCCAATTTCTTGGGATCATTTTGAGTGTACTGACAAAATGATCTCATTCACTATAGTTAATATGAGTTGGATAGTTGGTCTTGTCATTAATTTCCTAGAGTTGCAGACAGAAGATAATCATGTTCTCAGGGAAAACAAAGCTGCATGCTACTTCTTCACCTCTCTAATTAATTATAATTAATATGAACAATTATCCCTAGATGCTCAGACCAAGCTTGAGTTGACTCTTTCTTTCACTACACTCCTGCAAATCAACAAATTAAGCATATGCATTGATTCTATGTTTCTTATATTTCCATTTTAGGCACATTTCAACCTCACAAGATATGGGAAAGTTCTACTGTCTACTCCAAGCATATGTTTAAAGACAACAATTAAGAGACTGAAGTTTTCCTTGAAATACAATTTACAGATGGTGTTATCCCCAAGAATGAGTTGATTTTAATCCATAAAAATATTTGCGTTTAGAACTTATGATTGACGGACAAGCCATAAAGTCACCTCATCACTTGCATTTTTTGCAAAGGTCAACTAAATAAATATTTGTATGGATTAAAATCAACTAAATAAATATACAAAGAAGCTTTTCAAAAAAATATGATGGCAAAGAAAGCATCCCTTTAATTGTGTAAAACGCTTGTCCCTTTGTAATTAACTGCTATTAAATTTCTAAAGAATTTGTTCCTACGGAGAAATTTTGGAGTATGATATTTACAATTTGTGATGTGCTTAAATATAATTTCATTTCAGTTGAATCGAAATTAGGACTATGACAAATGATATTTGAAATAACTTAAGTACTTATAAAAATTTTATTATATTCAATTTATAAGTTGGGAAGCACCATATGACCTATTTAATAAATAATTTAATAGATTTGGAGTTAAAATTTCTTTATATGTAATCTCTTCCCTTTCTCGATTTCCTCTTGTTTGGACTGATTCGATATGCGTCGGACAAAACTAAGGAAAAGAAGGAAGAAAAGAAGTTATACAAAAATTTAATCTATAATTATATTAGATATTTGCTAATTGCAAATGTAAGTCAAGATGGCCGAGTTGGTCTAAGGCGCCAGTTTCAGGTACTGGTCCGAAAGGGCATGGGTTCGAATCCCATTCTTGACACTGGATTTAATTTTTGTTTCTGAGGCACTGTCATTATGATTCGAGAAGCAAATATGATTTTTTTTTTTCTGCTAAACAAATGAATCCGCCAGCTTATAGTACAGAAAGAAAATGACCAGGAAAGCAATATAACAACAGTCAACAACCAACTATTTCATCTTCTTCAATAACTCATTAAATATTTGAAACTACTAAGCTAAGCATTCTCAATTAAGTTGCTTGCCTTTTCTCCTCTTGTATTTTTCTTGTGCATGTTGTAACTTGAAATCCACCTTTAAAGAGTGTGATATAGTTATCGGGCTAAACAATTGGTATTACTGATTGGTAATGGTGAATCTCTATTTATTTTTTTGCCTTTTATCAATGGTGGCAATGACAGTTGGAGTATCTGTCATCTGAAGATAAATGCTTCTTTCACTCAAATGCATTGTTGATATTCTTATTCCTTATGATAACAACTACATTATTACATCAAGAATTTGATTAGCAAAATTACTATGACTAAGGAGGACCCACAGGAAAACGAGTGTCTTGATGAACCAGGTTCAAGACTCATCTAGAAGTTCTCTACAAGATGCATGCATGATCTGATATCAAGTGCTTGACCTAGAAATCTGCAACTACCAGGGACACAATCTAGGAATGCAGACTTCAATTTTATTGGAACTGAAAGGCTGGGTTAATGAAAACAGGGGGAAGTCGCACTTCACCGGGTTTTATGGATATGCTAAGAAACTTGAATTTTCTTCCAGTTTTTGGTAAAGTTTTAACAATCAATTTGTAAAATCCTACTCGTCTCAAAACGTTAGTTTCTTAATTTATTATCTGAGAAGCATAAAAATTTCCTCACATATATACATTTTAAGTAAAAAAAACAACCATTTTTATGCCACACAAATTTTACACTTAACAAAAGGCTGCAAAACAGGCAAAACTTTATGCTCCTATTACGCCATGGGTCGATTAATTCGTCCTATGCCTAGTCCTACTCCTTGCACGATTGAAAGGATAAGAGGAAATATTACGTGATTTACATGGCAGATCATCCAAATCAATGTCTGAAAACGAAGATTATTCTGCAAAAACCCTCTTATCTGATCTGCAGCAAGCCCACTTGATTGCATACCGTGCAGTGCGCCATCCATTCTTGCAACGTGGGTAACTTGGCACAAAACCAAGCAATTGAAAGAGGGCAAAATATACAGAAAACAAGCACTGCAAGCAAACTCTATTAAATTGTCACAGCATTTGGAATCTTGTTACTTGGATGAAACACCAGAAGAAAAAGCATAAGGACTTGCCTTGGTCACGTGATTATGTTTGCAATCTAGGTATTTTACCTTTTCTTTATCTCTAAGGACAAACTGGCTTTCCATTTTGTTAATCAGCATTCAGTGCCCAAGTTGCAGCTTCCATATCAAGTTATCAACCGCGTAGTTATGGGCCTCAATGGCTCAAAAAACAGAAGCAAAGGGTCAAACAACGAGTCTTAATTTTGCAAGGATGATGATGAACAAGAGCAAACTCTGAGCCAAGATGGAAACTACATTTATAACTACAAATTACTTCTCACATGCTAGATATATTTGGGTCTCATAATATTCATAATTCGATTGAATTTCCGCAACCGCAAGTTGCTCCAATTAAAGCTTGACTGGATCTAAGTTTATTTATATAATAAGTTCCATAATAGGATAAGCTTGAAAATTAATTAAACAAATATATTATTTTAAAGTCGACTGGATCTAAGTTTTTAAAATTGATTATTCCTTACATTAATTAGCATGATATTAAAATTAGCACTTAAAGATTATGAATTTTAAAAAATTTAGACGTATAATATTTTTTTCAATCAAATATGTAATTTGATAAAAAGTTTAAGAGTATATTAAAAACTTAAAAAAAAAAAAAGCTAATGTTTTTTAAACGAAACAAGCTGTCCTTTTTTCTTTAACAGGAAATGAAATAAGCTGTTTTGAAGTCCTTTCATTTCTCTATGCGTATACGTATATCATATTATTATTTATCGCTCCTTGATCATCTACTCTATTATAAAACCCCTTGATATTACAAGTTCAATGATAGTAACTCAATAACAGATAATTACAAATAAATAAATAAATAAATAAAATTATTATAAAAATGAGAATGAACATGCTTTTTTTTTAGTTAAAATAAATAAATAAAGAACATAAATGAATTTGAAGTTGAGCCGTGAAACATCTTAAAAACAATTAGAATACAACAAAACTTGAAAATTTTCAAATAAAAATTAATAAAAATGGTTATATAAAAGGTTTTTTATAATAAATAAACAGTCAATTTTTCTGTTTAAATAATTATAATTATTTATTATATATCTATTTAGAAATAAATTTTTTATCCAAATGAGTTTATTTATAAAAATTTAATAAAAATTAAATTTATTTAAAAAATAAGCCCAAATGCTTTTTTTTTTTTTTTTTACTTTTAATTTCCTGTGATCACTAGGATAATTTCTAGCAAGCCCAATGACTTGGGCCACTTTCATTACTTAATCCAATAACCAAAGACACATAAGTAGTCTTACGTATAACACTTACGGAAAGTTTTTGTAGTATTATGGGATATACAGTATACTAAATTATCAGTACTTTTTTATAAAAAAAAAATAAGTATTCCACTATAAAAACTATCTTCTTAAAAAATTAATTTTTTAAAACACAACTTCTCTTTTTTTATTTCAAAACATTTTTTGAACCCACAAAGTGCGTGTACCCATTTCTAGTGAGCTTAATTGAAACGGCTTTGCTTGTAAGATGGGGAAGATGGCACTAGCTACCGTTGCGGGTCGAGCTAGGTTTAGTTAGCACCTCTGAATATCAAGTTTAGACTTTGACTTGTCCAAACCCGATTGGTACTTTTATAACAAATTTGCTTGTGTAGGGTCACTTTTAATTTAAAAATTATGATTAATACATTAAAACAGTATTTTTTTTATATAATATTTTAAATTATTTTAAAATTAAATAAAAAACCATTTTTTAATTAAATAGTATATTTGGCCAAGGCGGACTCAGGTCTAAAAATTCTTCCTAAAACCCAATCCAAGTTGGGCAAGCGTGCGTTATCTGGTCCTATTAATAGTTTTAGCACTAGAAAAGAGAAAGTAAAACAAATTTCACTGTTACCTGATATTTGGATCAAATGATATATTATTAAAATAATTATTTAAATATTACGAGTTTAAAAAATTTATGTATATAATATTTTTTTAATCAAATAATAATTAAAAGATCAAATATAGATTAAAACTTAAAAAAAAAAAAAAAACCAATTTCACTCTTGCTTGATAATAAAGAAAAAATGAAAGAAAAAGACAAATAGGAATGATTGATTTTTTTTTTATTCTTCATTCTTATTAATAAAAACAAAATCATTCCAAGTTAAAAAAGATAATGAAAGAAATTTTGTGAGTGTAAAGTGTTACAAATTTATAAAATTATCTATATTTTAATTTTATCATTTGCTTTCTTTAAATTGAAAAGATAAAATAATGAAATTTTCATTTGCTTTCCTTTCATTTTTCAACTTGAGCATGTAACAATGGATTTATACCAAGCACGCCAATTAAATAACAAACATATTTTTCATCCTTTCACTCATTCTCTCCCTAAAATTTTCTTGTTTTCATTTATCTAACTCAAGTAAAAACCTTAAGAATCAAAGTTGCTACCTCACTGCCTAACTAATTGATCATTAATTATTCACAAAATAATTCGCCATTTCCATATATATATATATATATATATATATATCTTGATGTAAAGATTTGCTTTGATTGATAAGTTTTCTATTTCTCAAAAGAGTTACTAAAAGGTAACAACAAAAAGGTAAAATATAACGAATCAATAATTGATTAGAAAGATGATATAACAACAATTATTATTTAATTAGTCTGTAACAAATAGATATAAGCATTTCATCATCTCTAACAATTACATAGATATTGAATATTATCTTTTATGTTCAACAATATTCACTGTCAATAGATATGAAAAGCACCAATTCCACATGCAATCTATATTATATATAACATGATATTAGCTATGGTTTCGTAACTATGCTGATGCTATTCTTCGTTGTTCCCTACTTTTACAAATGTCCCAACCCGGCTTCTATTAAAGTAAGAGTAAGTCAAATGCATGGACAATCTTGTTTGTTTACGTTCAGAAAACACACTATATATATGTATATATATCGATTATCAACAAACTTGATAAGTTTTTTTTTTTTTTTTCTTATATGATGACATTTTTAATTTTATTTTCGAACATAAATTGAGTCTAATTTATGTATCATTAAAAAGTTTTGGTTTGGTGTGGTTTTCCTTTAAAACAAATTAAAATCAATCCATTCTCACCCTTAATTCAATTCAAATCCAACACTTGATATCTTTTTCCAAACCCCTAGCTCATTTCCAATTAATCCCCACAATAATAAAAAAAATATTACCGAAGAGAAATCAAGAGTATGGATGTGGTTTGATATTTTGTTGGTATAAATTTATAATTAATTAAAGTCATTCTTGTCTTTGAAAAATCATTCTTTTCTTCTTTGATTAGTAATATATTTCACTATTTTAGGTTCCCTTGGCAGCTAAGTTGGTAGATTTTCAGCCTATATATATATAAAGCTACGGACATTTACAACTTTTTAATTAATAATTGTCGTGACCAATAAATTAATTCTGTTCCTCCTCCTAATATGATTGGCGATAGGCATATACAGAAAATGGAAAACGGGGCTAAGAACAAGAAATCCATGGCTGACAAACAGAGTGAGAAAGATGGATCAGGTAGAACGTTTAAATAATTTTTATTTTATTAATTATAAAATACTTTGTCACATGATTCCAATTTCTCATTTATCAACTTTTTACCCCTTCTTTTTTCTCATTTTAGTTTTTCCCTTACTCTACATCCACCTTTGTAAAAGGATATTCTTTTCATTAATCTTTTCACTACTTATAATTATTAATTACAAGTTCAATCAGGTCAGATATATATATTATTTGG